CTTCAGTAATCAAGTCCATTCAGAGAAATTAGAGTTCGTTCAAAAACAATTTACATTGGAATTCCCGGTTAAACCTTCGCCCATATACTAACTGTTTAAAACTTATAAATCTACCTCTGTTCAATAGTCGTAGGGAAATGCATGGTATAATATTTCTTGTAAAACTTATGAATGGGTCAGTCATTAGTTCATCTGCATACATCCACAATATTAAGGTTCCCGTTCGCTCAACCAGGCAATTTAGACCTTCACGTTTAAAATTTTCTAGATAAAATTTTGAGTTAAACAAACCATTTCGCCGTATAAGCCACGATTTCATTTCTCATTCCAGCACATTTTATCTAACAGACTCACTCTGTACTAATAAAAAGGTTATTTTATCTACTCCTATCAAGTAACATTTAAAAGCAATAAACTTACTTTATTCTAATTCTTAATTTGGGGGATCAGATTTTTGGTTTTGTAGCTGAGCAGCTTAAGGTCGCAACGCTTAAAAACTATCCTACCTTTTATGGCTCAGCCAATTCTGCTCATTTGCGGATTGCGCTCATCATATCGGTGGAGAAGGAGGAAGGTAATCGTTGGGTAGTATATTATTACTAAATATAATTTTTGCAATATTATGTTAAATTTATTYTAAAATACTAACTTTTMTCAGCAATATAACCAGTTAGAGYAAAAATATCGAGCCAACAATTTGGCATAGGTAATGTTATTGTACCCAAGTCGTACCAAATTTTCACAAAATCTTCTTTTTAACAAATATAACTTACCTACAGCTTCATGGCGTAAACTTTTAATGTGGTTTTCGCTCTTATTCATCATATAATAGTGGCTAAATGAAAAATTACGTCCAAATATGCCCCTCCTTAATGCGATCCTTTGTGCTAAATTTCATTTTAATAACTTTATTTATGGCTTAGTTATGACACTTTATAGGTTGTCGGTTTCCGCCATTTTGTGGGCGTAGCAGTGGGCCGATTTTGCCCATCTTCGAACTTAACCTTCTTATGGAGAAAAGAAATACGTATACCAAGTTTCATCATGATATCTCAATTTTTACTCAAGTTACAGCTTGCACGGATGGACGCACAGACGGACAGACGGACGGACGAACAGACAGACATCCGGATTTCAACTCTACTACTCACCCTCATCACTTTGGTATATATAACCCTATATCTGACTCTTTTAGTTTTAGGACTTACAAACAACCGTTATATGAACAAAACTAGATATAATACTCTCTTTAGCAGAGACTATAAAAATAGTCAAACCGAAAAACGTTCAAAGCGACCTCAATAGAAGCTTCAATAGACCCCAAGCAAGTAGCCACAAAAATTTAAAGAGAAGMTATTTTAAAAACCAATTGTTCACATCCGAACAATATAAACAAACGTCATGCGAACTTTGTAGAGGAAGTCACAAACTCAAATCGTGCGAAAAATTCAAAAAAATGAATATTAGCGATCGAAACAATTTCGTAAGAACAAAAAAAAATTATGCACCAAATGCTTGTCACATGCGCATACGCTTAAAGATTGCGAAAGCAAATTTAATTGCGTTTAGTGCCATAAAAGACATCATTCAATGTTACATATAACAAATTTTCCAGCTCACCGCCAAACAGCGCAAACATAAAAAGAGCAACAGGTTTAGTTGCAACAACAAATTCTGAAAACTGCCAAGAAGCGCCATGCTGCTCAGAGGCGTTGAAAACCCAAACGCTACATAGCGAAAATCACAGTARGGTACTATTATCCACAGCAGTTGTCTCCATCGAACACCGAGRARAACTGTTTAAACTCAGAGCCTTAWTAGAVCAARGATCACAACGATCATTTATAGCGTCTAGGRCACRAAACAGGCTACAGTTGCCAACAAAASTGGCCAATTTTGAAATCACGGGAATGGGCGGAAGAGTTGTTCAAAACTCAAATAAAATCTGCCCCATTACCATCTTTTCCCCCAAAGCGGATAAGCGCATACAAGCAGATGATATTATTAATTAACCAATATGCTACCAAGCCATCACATAATCAGCCACTTGGCTACACGTGTCTAGTGCTGACAACCCTGCCGATGTAGGTACAAGGGGGTGCAAGCCTCTGCACCTTGCAACCACCACTCTTTGGTGGAATGGTCCTCGATGGTTAAAAGAATCCCCCGATTCTTGGCCACGATCGCCCATGCGCAATATAATTGCCCCCGAAAGTCGAAAAATCGACTACTTTCACACGACATTGGATGATACTGACATCCTAGAGCGATTCTCCTCAAACCCCAGAGCACTCAGGGTAATCGCTTACATGTTAAATTTCATCAAGCGACTCAAAATTAGAGTGAAAGGAGAACCCACGCTATACTCCCAAGGCGATACATTGACGCATCTAGACCTAGAAAAGGCAAAGGTCGCTCTTATCACTTATACTCAGTCGCGCCACTTCTGCTGCGAGATGTCACTACTAAGAGAATCAAAGCCGGTTGACAAAAAGAGCTCACTCTTAGTACTAAATCCATTTCTGGATACGAAAGGTCTTCTTCGTGCTAATGGTCGGCTTGCTAACTCAAGCCTGACATATAACGAACGCCATCCTCTAATAACACCAGAGAAGTCTGGACTTGCAACATTGCTACTCAAGTATATACACATATTAATGTTGCACGCGGAACATCGCCTAATGCAACATATAATTCTATATTCTATTCTATTCTATTCTATATTCCCCGACTTAAGCCTCAAATAAAAAAGTGCATTTTCATGTGCAAGATCTGCACTATGCATAAACAGAAGATGAGGACGCAGAATATGGCAGCACTTCCACCGGAACGCTGCAACTCTGCTTTTCACCGTTACAGGTGTCGGTTTTGCTGGGCCTTTTCAGATAAAGGCGCCCATGATAAGGTCTCCCACAATAATGAAAGGCTACGTGGCTGTCTTTGTCTGTTTTGCGACAAAAGCAGTGCACCTCGAGCTATGTACCAATCTGACAAGAGGCTTTTCTCGCGGCATTTTCTCCCTTCGTCGAACGACGCGGTTTTCCGTCCAAAGTTGTGAGCGACAATGGAAAAACCTTTATCGGGGCTCAAAGAGACACAGAAAAACAGTTTGTGGACTTTATAAAACAAGTCTCCCCTGAGATTTTACAAAAGTACCTCATATAAGTGGTTTGTGGGAATCAGCTGTAAAAAGCTTCAAATCCCACTTCAAAAAGGCAGCTGGAAACCACAAATTCAATTACGAAGTATTTACAACACTATTAATTCGCATTGAAGCCGTTCTCAATTCACGGCCACTAACAACACTCTCGCAAGGTCCCTCAGATCTCACAGCCCTAACTCCAGGGCGCCTTCTCAAAGGAGCACCCATTCTGGCCACACCTGAGACAGGCGTGGAGTCGCTATCCTTATTAAATCGATGGGAGAGAATTAAAATTCTCCATCATAATTTCAGTCGTAATTGAAAAGAAGACTATTTAAAGGACCTCCACAAGAGGTATCGATGTAAGACATCAGAAAATGCGACAAAGCTTGGAGATTGTGTACTTATTAACGACGATTGTCTCCCACCTACCGAGTGGCGACTTGGCCGTATAGAAGAGCTCCATAACGGCGCAGATGGTCACATCCGGGTCGTTGATCTCCGTACTCAAAGCGGAATACTCACCAGAAAGCTGGTTAAATTATGCTTGTACCAACCGCGGATAGTAGCGAAAATCCGATACTAAATATCCAAACATAATCCCGAAACAGAAACAAAAGTAAATCAAACAATGAAACAAAACCCCAACGCGCAGCCAACTGTTAACAATAACAATAAAAATTACAGAAATGGTCGGTCAATACGACGACCCAGTCATGCCACACAATGTGGCACAATCGCACATTTCATTTATATACTACCATGTATATTCAAGTACAATTTTTTACGGAGATCAAGATGGACGTGGACATGCCTACTACACCAACCCCAATTGTTCGGTCGGCAACCAACGTGGTACGCACTGGGCCTATCCCTACGCCCCGTCCAACCAATGCTACTGCATCAACTACCGCTTCTGGTAGTGGCTCACGAGCAGCCCCATTAACGCCATCCGCCCAAGCCGAGCCGCGTCGCATCCGATGCCCGCTATGTCGCCGGAAACACCGACTACAGCACTGTGGGCTCTTTAAGGAGTTATCGCCGACACAACGCCAGCGTGTTGCCCATGCACATGAGTACTGCTTCAACTGCCTGTCGCACACACATGTGACGCAGGAATGCGCTCTCGACGATTTATGCCACACGTGTGGCAGACCACATCACACGCTGCTGCACAGGACCCCACGACGCGATGTAGGTCGGCCAACTGCCACAAGCACGGGTAGATCGAGGCAAGCAACCCGGACGGTACGACGCCGAACCACTGCAGCCCGGCCTGAGCCCCATCAATGGCGTCCGCACCACGTTGCACCGACCAGGCGTCGTCCAAAAGCGCCACAGCATCGCCCCGCTACAGGACTCAGCAACGTAGTTGCAACTCTCCAGCAACTACAGACATTGCTAGGCTGAATATTCGCCTAGGGGGGCCGGGCTAAATGAGATAAGCCCCCCCCGCCCTTATGCCACTACACCAATACACCACACACACCGAGTCCACATTCCACAGGACCCGCACATCAACACCACCCACAAACACACGCCACACTGGTCAAAAGGCTTTTCTTCAGTCTCGTTTTGATCCGCAATCAAAACCTACGCATCGCCGCTGTGATCCTCGCGCCCTCTCGATCATCATATATCATTCCGTAATATTGTCTAATTAAAAATAACTTGAACCTCATTTTCCACATTTGTAAATAAATTAAAATATCTAATTAAATTAACCTTAAATTACCTTTACAAACTAACCGGGTGYTTTAGTTAAAGAAGTGGAAGTGGTAAGTGGCAAAAGACAAAAAGTGAAAGTGGGTATCTTCTTAAACATTGCTTTCTCTTAACAATTAGGTTTCATACTCACCTTTGTCAGGTAATAAATTCGTATATGTGTCATCTCTAATATCCTCGAGCAACTCTTCGTCATGTTTTATCTCTACGGTGAATAGAACAASCAAGGAGCGATAAATCGAATTCAGTGAAGTCATAGCAATATCATGTTACCAAAAGCGTATTAAGAGGTAACAGCAGCATGACATATCCATAGGTTRGTTTTCACAAGCACACAGGTTTCAAGTGGATGTTGATCAATTAATGAAAGTAGATGAAATRTAAAAGGAAAGAAATAATTACATGACTTTACATATATATAATATCAATTAACCTTTGTTGCAAGCTAATGAGACACGACCTACTTCTCAATTTAGAAATAGTTATATCCCAAGCCAAAATAATTTCTAGGGGGCATGAATAAATATGTTAAGGCTTACTACAATCAGGATTTCATTCTCTTAATGATAAGAATTGTTAAATTTTTAATTTCGCGTTTATTTTGTTATTTTTGTTCAGTATTGTTTGGCATTTCATTATTGAATGACTTATCCATGAACAACCATTACAAATCGCWCAACTCTATAATCGAAATTCGCGTTTTGGAAATAATACGCTTTGCGCTCTTACTTATGGTCAACATAATCGGCCTACTGAGCGTACAATTCGCAGCTTTATCAMCCATCTTGAGCTCTAGCATTCAATATTGGATAATATTTGACCTATATTTGACTGACTTGACGTGATTTCCAGCTMGTTGTAAAAATAATTTTGAATGGAGAAAGTATACAATATTAAATTGAAAGCGTACAAAATACAGTTTGTGMATAAACTGAAACCTCTCGACCTTTCCAAGAAACATGTCTTCGCTCTATYTCTGAAAGGTTAGAAGAAGATTCAACGTTTTCATAGCTGAGACCCATTTTATCAAAGATAATGACAGTGAAAACGTAACCATCAATGGCTGTTTGATAYCCGAAATTGAAACATTAACAAGACGACGCCACTTCCAACACATCGCATTAATCAATAGATTTATTGTGAGAACGTTTCAGTGAGGAGATCTTATTCTCAATTGAAGATTCCTCCAATTGGAGGTTTTCCTCTGCTTACCACGGCGGGTTCTCCGTCGAATACTTTCAGGGCTGGATTGTTTTCATCCATGACCTAGAACTATGTCAATGTTGTCGTATATCTTATACAGCTCATCATTCCATCGAATGCGATAATCGCCGTGGTCAACGCGCAAAGGCCATAAATCTTTTGCAGAACCATTCTCTAGAAAAGTAGTAATGTCGACTCATCAGATGTTGTCATCGTCCATGCCTTTGCACCACGAAATCGCTCAATAAAAGCAACAAAAGCTTTTGGCCACTGTGTATGGTATATACGGAATTTAGTGACCATATTTCGAACATAGATATAAACATCGTTATAGTGAAGGTARAATAATAGCAGCCTTTTCTGCAGAATAAGCTGGTTTATTGGAAAGTCCTTTCAGCCAGCACAATCAATAGTAAGAGCAAAAAGCATACGACTCGTGGCTACTTGTACATGTGGGTGTAAGTTCATACATAGATGTTTGCGCTTTAAAGGACATTTGTGCCGAGCCATAGCATTGCATATACGGGCAATGGAGCAGACTAACAGCAGAAATTATCTGTAAAATGCCAGACAAGTAAACAAAAGACTGCAAAAAAAAAAGTTATGCAAAAACTTCTGTTAACACTATAATGTGTTTATAAAGATTTTTCTTTTATAATCTACTTMCAGTAGACACTTTTAGTTGTGAATATATGTAGTGTAGTATATTCCCTTTCCTTTACAACTAACCAAGAAATATAACGCTGCAACAAGTGGTTACGTAAGCACTGAGTATAATTGGCCTTKTTGAACAGTAAATAATATGGGCCGGAGAGTATTCATATAATTTATAAATATGTATAAATTAATATGATTGARAACCAAATAAAGAGAAAAAATTAATTGCTTGTTGTTATTTAGAATATACATAATGTTCAGAATTTTTAAGAGGTAATTGCGTTTATAATGAATTACAGTTTGAATGTCGGTATAATACTGGTTTTTCGGTTCTTTTTAGTATTTTATTCCTTTGTTAGGATTCTATCTAATTAACCTGTTCATTTAACAGAGTCAAGGCTTCAGTAAGAAGCTTAAAACTTATTTACAACTAGGGGATCCGGCCACGCGTTGCTGTGGTATACATTTAATACTATTATTCATATCATAAACTATGTATTGAATATTCATCATTCTATTTAAGAATAAATGCGAAAACGGTTCTGTCGGTATAAGAATCTTTGATACGAAAACTTGGTTTGTTTGCCAAAGAAAAATACATGTACATGCATACAGCAACACTGCCCGTTAATACTTTTCCTTGCATCATTCGAGGACTACTAGTGGCAAGGAGAAAATGCAGCTCAGTTGTTGTAGTTTTGTGAACAAAGAAAACAAATTTATCAAGGACAACCAAACGAAGCAATGCCCAAAACCGTTTGTCGAAARTCTGATGCTTTCAGTATACTCGTTGCTCTATTTTCATGCATTCTTGTTGTTGTTTTGGAGGTTGAAGCATTTAACAAACGTTTTTGACGCTATGTTGTCCACATATGCTTCAGTTACATTCAAGTAATCAAAACCATGACAAATCGTTTACATACACATAGACGAAAGCAAACGAATCATAACACACCCTAAGGCGTTAAAATATGTACATACATACTTAGTGTTACCATAAAAGGAAAAGCAGCTTCTGCAGTCGAAATTGTGCAACAGCAAGTGTTGCCAACAATTGAGGAGCAATGCAAATACGATATGTGTGCTGAGAGTGAGTTTATATGGCTTACTTACGTTAAGACGAAATGATCACACTAAATTAAAATGGTATGAAAATAGGAGAAAACATTAACTTAAACTGTTATGGGATTATGCCAGAAAAAATTGTGGCGTATAAAAAAAATTAAAGAACACTGGTTAATGGTGCCCATTAAAGTATTTGTTGGAAAATATTTTCAGCACATCTACAGAATGACTTTAGGCAATGATATCAATGGTCTTCCGTGATTTTGTGGCCGTAGATGCAATAACTATTTTGGATATATTTGACCTCATAAATTATGAAACTATCAATGATTTTGTAAGACCWGTTATATTGTATATTTATTTCCATTTTAAGTACATTACAAAAACTAGAAGTCATGAAACATAACWACACATTTATTTAAAACGACACTTTTTTTAAAAACTAAGGATACATTTAAATTAATAGAGAAAATGTAATGTCATATTTCATTAGAACTCCTTTAGAAAAATTTATTTTATCATTTTCGAGCTCCCATAACAATGTCTTAAAAAACAGCCGTAAATTCGCAGCATATGAACTTTAGAATTCGGACTGTCTCAAAACACTGCTGATTTTGCTTTGGAACTACTTGAAAACAATAACGATTTTTTATGAAAATAATTTTCTTCGAWGAAGCACACTTCCCTCTGAGTGATGCGATAAATATAGAAAACTGTCGAAGKGAAAAAGTACGAAGATAATTCACAAACTATTAATGAGGATTTTTATTCTGATGGTCGGACTGTCAATAGAGAGCGACAAAGAATCTTGGTAATCAACTTTTTTTGACCGCAACTGGAAACACTTGATCTTAATAACATCTACTTCCAGTCAGGGCAACGCGTCAYACAGCACGTGCAACAACCAAGTTWTTCCGAGAAAASTTCAAGAAATTGTGACATTGAATGTACTCCAAGAAGTTSTTATTTAACAACATTAAACTACTTTTTGTGGGTTTATTTGAAGTCACTGGTCTTACCAATAAACCAGAAACTTTTCAAACTATTTATATAGAAAGTCTTATYCAAGGCATATGATTTTATTTAATGGAAAATGTACACGAGAGTTGCGTACATCGAATTCGTT